TGTTTTTGTTTCTTCCGGTTATTAACTGGATGTATTTGGTGCATTTATTTTGTGTGTTTTTTAATCGCGGTTTAGAGTTTAAACAATTTTAAAAAATTAAATATATTACTTGTAAATAACAATAAATCTCTTTAAATTGTCAAATTTCACCATTTTTCAAAGTTAAACGTAAGAAAAAACCAACATTTTTGTTTTTTAGACATTTATCATTTTTTCATCAATGAAACTTGTCTTATTTTTAATAATTAATAAAAATTATATATAATATATGCAGTGCGATGTTTTTTTTTTTTGCGGTTTTTGAAAAGCAGAAAACCTCACATTCGGATTTTATTATGGTTATGGTTTATACAATTAATTTTTATTGCGGTGCGGTTTTTATTTACTCTGAATATTTACCCTAAATTTAATATACCATCATTTGTGGTTTAAGAAATAGAAAAAAACTAAAAACGCAATACACATATATATGAAATCAAATTTTTTTAATTTAAAGAACAAACGAATATTTATAGCAAGTCAAAAAGAAAACTGTCAAACCGGGTAAACCAAATATTAAAAGTTCACACACCGCGCGGCAATCCACCATTTTTGAACTCTATACATATGGCGGGCGGCAGCGGCATCCAGCCTCTCCTTCCCAGTTCCCCAAACCCTACAATACAATGGACGACACCAAACAAAACTCCATTAACGTCATCCACCATGATTCCAGGAAGCGACCCTTCCCCATCGTCACCGGTGCCAATCACCACCCTGTTAAACCACTTCCATCTACAAAGAGACGAGTGGTTTTGGGTGACCTAACCAATTCGGAAAACCTAACTTCCATTTCCATCCATAGCTCGGATAACAAACACAACCCGAGATCAGTTCAGTGTGTGAATACTGTGGTTTCTGTCTCTTCCAGATCGATTAACACCAAGAAGTTTTCGTTAGCATCTCTTATATATCAGCATCTTCACTCATTAGAGGTACTTTCCCCAATTTTTCGTTTGTTAATTTTGGGGTTTTTTTTTTTATTATGGATTTAAATTTATGCAATATACATGACTCGTTATCTACCTGTTCGTGGTTTAGGTCGAGGAAAAGAGAAGGCCGTTGGCAGATTATATGGAAAAAGTTCAATCGGATATCACCATAGGAATGCGAGAGGTGTTAGTGGATTGGTTGGTTGAGGTAACAGAGGAGTATAAACTTGCATCCGATACCTTGTTCCTAACAGTCTCCTACATCGACAGATTCCTATCTTCACATTCATTAAGCAGAAACAAACTCCAGCTTCTTGGTGTATCTTGCATGCTTGTAGCCTCGTATGCTCACGAACCCCTTTTAAATTCCTTGTTTAATCATCACTTTCCCCATAATCGATTTTGCTTACTTTCTCTTCTATTAGAAAATTTGAAGAGATTAGTCCTCCACAAGCTGAAGATTATTGTTATATAACCGACAATACTTATACTAAAGAAGAGGTTACTTCTTTTAGCTATGTGGCCTCATTTTCTCCCTTTTAATTCATCTTATCTACAACAACAAAGGCTGTAAGTATTCTCTCTTTGAAACTTGTAGGTGGTTCAAATGGAAGAAACCTTGCTCCAGTTTTTGAATTCGGATCCTAGCAATCCAATACCAAAAACTTTTCTCAGGTATGTATCTGTAATCAGTAATGCTTCTATGATTATAACTGTTTTTATATTAACTTTCACATATTTGGGTTTACAGAATTCTCATTAGAGCTGCCCAAGGAGAAATGCAGCCATCATCTTCTTCATTTGAGTTTTTGAGTTGGTTTCTCGTGGAGCTAAGCTTGCTAGATTACAGTTGTTTAAGATTCTTGCCATCAATGGTGGCAGCATCCGCCATTTTTGTTGCAAGATTTACACTTGAACCAGAAAAGCATCCATGGGTGAGAAAATTATGAATTATTGGGATTTAGTTAATCTATTTATGTTTTTGAAAAGTTTAAGATGCAATCTTTTTTTTTTTGTTTCAGGGATTGAAACTGCAATGTTATTCTGGATATAAACCATCTGAATTAAAGGATTGTGTTATTGCCATTCATGGCTTACAGTTGGGTAGAAGAGCATCATCTTCTCGAGCAGTAAGAGAGAAATATACACAGCATAAGGTAATTAAATGTTTATATAATATTATATAATATTAGATGTATTGCATAAAGATATTTGATATGATTATTTTTTGTTTTTGTGGAAACAGTTCAAGTGTGTCGCAGCGTTGGCATGCCCTTTAGAAATTCCAGATTCTTATTTGGAAGAATAAAACAATAAATGGAATCAGAATCACAAGTGTTTGGGAGGCTAAATTTCTTGATGGATATAAAATTCATCTTTAGTTTGCAGCCTAACTGGTTTGAAGATGAAATTTTCTGTTAAATATTTGGGAGAATTTGCATATCAGAAGAGTTTTGGTGTTAATTCTTGTTACATATGTGAAGATCCAAGATAAAGTTTTGTTGATTTAATGGATACTTTTGAGTTTTTTTTTATGTTAGCTTCTTTTTACTTTGATCAAGCGAATGTTGTATCAAACCAGAGAGTTTTGATTCGTTGATTTGTCTCATTTTTTTTTTCTTATTAAAACGAATTCATATTGAATATAAGGTTGTAGCTTTCATTCTAATTTTAATATTTTTTCAATAAAAATGAATATGAAAATCTATAAACCTTTATTTTTATATTGTGTAATTGTTATTATCTATCTATTATATGGGTTAATTTAAAGAAAAGTTAGATAAAAAAGTTTAAATATTTGAGAATTTTAAATTTATGAGAGAATAAGAAAAATAATAAATTGTTACAATTAAAATATTTTTTTATCTTTAAAATTTAAACAAATAGTTTAAATAAACAAACAAAAAAATTTGAAATTAAAAGGTAAGTCTATTAATGAAATTGATATTATTTATTATAATTATTACATTAAAATATTATATTAAATTTAATAAAATAATAAAAATCATAAAATGATATTTGGAAAAAATTAATTCAAAATATAAAAAAAATAACATTTGATAAATTGAATAAGAGTGTCAGATGTGACAAAAAAATCTTCATTTATTAGGTTAGATATAATTGTTTTAACTTTTACGCATTCAATTCTAACTCAAACACATTGTATATCCATTGTTAGGGATTGGTGATTGGCCCTAAAACATGATTATAATCGGTTAAAGGCCCAATTAAACTTATTTTTTTATGCAAATAAGGCCGAATGATTTAACTTTAACTTGTTAATTAAATTGTAGTTTATTTTTCAAAAGCACTAGATTATACTTTTTATATAAATTTCTTGAAGTTTTAGAATAATCTCATTATGCTAGATCCATTGGTAATTAAAGTGACCTACCTTGTGATCCCGAGATCAAATTAGTATGTTTGAACGTGCACTCCACACCTTTAAACTCATATTAATGTAAAATACGGTTATAATATAACTAATATACCTGTACATAACATTATGGTTTAAATGTAAAAATAAATCTTGTATTAATACAAAATATGGTTTTTAAATAAAAAAAATGTATTATTCGGTTTCATATGTAAGAAAAATTATTTATATGGTTTTAAATAAAAAATAGTCAATATTAAACAAAATTGAAATAAATGATGTTTGATTTAGAAAAAAAAAATGTCAAAAACTTAAAAAAGAATTATTAAAACTTAGTATCAAAATTTAGAAAAATAAAAAATTAATGTTTTTTGTATAATAAATTTAATTTTGGCATATCCACATATCAAATCATTACACATCATAATTTTAACAAATTGAAAAAGAAAAAAAAATTAAGAAAAAAAATACAATATCAATATTAAAATTTTAATATCAATTTAATGACTTTTATCCTATTTACCCTTACATTAACTATACACATTAACTATACATTAACTAAAATAGTAAAATCTGAATTCAAACCTAGATGCTATCGTTGGCGTGGGTTGAGTGCAAATCTCAAATTTTCTGCAAACACCACATACAACGATGCAGTGGGAAGCGGACGAGAAAGAGGTAAAAGCTGCCGGACGGACGTAGAGGACTCCGCATTCATGGCTGGGAGATCGAGTCTAGCAACCGTTCAATCCTCACCTCCCTCAACCTACAACCGTACTCTCTCTCTCTCTCTCTCTCTCTCTCTCTCTCTCTCTCTTACTTCAATTATTGTCCAATAAGCTAATTGACTTAGGTATTTACATCGGATTGGTGTTAAAGTTGTTAAACAATCGATTTTTTTGTTTAAAGCACATTGGATAAAGGTTGAATTCTGCGTATTAAATTGTCGTTATAATATGTAATTTCTTCGGCGATGTTCCAGAGGCTCTTGGTATAATCTGTTTAGTAAAGCCTGGAATTCTTAGGAATTGGGAGAGTGATCTAGTACTGCTGTTATGATCTTACATGAGGTAGCAAGGAGCTATTTTCTGAATTATGATTGACTTTGGACAAATCGAAATGTTATGAACCTGGATTGACTAGCTATTTTCCGGAGATTTGGACAAATCGAAATATAAATCTGGTTTGGTATACAAAACTTGGGTAGTTATCCAATAATTTGGATTCACGGTTTGGCATCTGGCTGTCATGTTTAACAGAAGAGATTCTTGATAATTAGCATGATATGATTTTGACTAAGAAGAAGATGTAATCCCCAATACCATCCCCCTCCCCCCAAAAAAATGGAAAAAGGAAATAAACGAAAACCTAGATTTGCTTCTACATATCTATTTAATTTTAAACAGGGTGACATAAGGTATAGATATTAAGTAATTTTGAATTGATATATTTGCAATAGAATAAATTGTCTGTAGCCTCTTGCAAGTTTTGAAGAACACTATATTATGAAATTATATCTTCATTCCTGATAAGTTATGGATACTGTTTTCCAAAACCTTTTGCAGGTGGGAAGAAAATCTAGAGACAACCCAGTTGCCAGAGATGATGTTTGGGGACAGTTGTTTGGTTCTTAAGCACCAAAATCCACTTCAATGCTTTTGATGCTTTACTTGGCTGGAAGAAGGAATCCCTACCCCCTGTTGAAGTCCCTTGAAATTCAGAAGGTTATACGCTCCATCTTCGGTCTTCTTCTTAATTTGTAATTATTTAGTCAGTTACATATTGGAATAATGCTATTATCACATGAAGCAACTGAAAACATTGTGTACAAGAGAAGCAGGACACTATATAAAAGTTGAGGAGCAGATAAAAAAACAAGAACTCTAGTACCATGTGTGAGCATTCAGGATAAATTTACATGAAAATACATTGGAATTATAAGTTTGTGTTCATTTATAGAGTATAATTACAGTTAGTGCTTGATTAGTTTTTGAAGAAAAACTAAACATACCAATGTACCCTATTGTTATTGCTAGCCTACCTAGCAATACTAGGTTCCCCATTTTCTCTATGTCCATAGATGTTTTATTTAACAATTGAGTATATATAGTCTTTTTAACGTCAAGATTTTTTGCATATTTTATGATCATGATTAATTTTGAGAACCACATTAAAGACTAGAACTCTAGTACCATGTGTGGTTTCGTTTTTAACTGGGAAAGTGGTAAATAAAAAATCTTAAATTTTTATTCAGCTAATCCTTTTTAACTTTCATTTAGGTTTTCATTTTTCTTGCTTTTTGTAGAGAGTGATGCCTAGTTGTTGGTTTCTTCTCTTACGTTTCTGGGTGAGTTGACTTCTCTTTGAACAATAATAATTTAATATCTTTAATTTTTTTTTATATTCATGTATGTGTGTCTGTTGTTGCAGCTTAGAGTGGATGGTGCCCTGATGAGATTGAGGGATACTCGCGTCTTTTGCACTTTTAATCAGAATTCAAAGCCACTCATCATTCGGGAGATTTGCTGGAGGGAAACTTCATTTAAAGCTCTTGCTTCTGTAAGCCTTCTTTCACTCTCTCAAACTTAATGCTCAATGTTTTCTTTTTAAGAGAATCTTAATATGATGAGAAATAGAAATCAATAGATAATGAAACTAAAGAGAAACAGGAAGAATCAGAGAAGTAGAAGATGATATCATTAAATCTAATGAAATGAATTACAAACTATATTGAATGAAGCAAGAACCTCAAACAATCCCAGGGAATCTCCCTCTCTCACTAGCTAAATGCTAAGAGCCAAGAAAATTGAGCAATACTCATTGACATCCCCAAAATGAAATTACTCTTCTCTCTCTCTCTCTCTCTCTCTCTCTCTCTCTCTCTCTCTCTCCCTCCCTTCCTTCTGCCCCTTCTAGAATTCCCATGTAATATTCCTAGTTTATTTATATCAAGGCCCAACCATTTTGAATCTGTATCATAATAATTTAAAATGCAAAGAAAGCATCACATATTTGCTGATTTCTAAATAAATGCAAAGTCAGGATTAAAAATTTATAATATATCACCTTGTAAATGTTTAAGTAAATTAAAAATTTTGGTCCCTGTCCTTGGATCGTCAAATTTAACAGCCTAGCTGTTAAAATTGTCAAATTGACTATTTTTCCCTTGTCTTTTTCATTTCCCTTCTGAAGAACCCTAAATCAAACAATTTCAACCAAAATCCCAAAATCAAATCTAAACTTAATACAAAATAAATTTTGATTCATAATCAAAACCCACTTTTATAAATCTTTATCTCTGGAATCAAACATTATAAACCCTTAGTAGATGCAATAACTCTCTTAAGCTGGAAGACAAAATTCATAAAACAGAGAGTCAGAGACTTAAATGAATAAACCTCCTTCACTCCCACTCCACTACCTCAAATAAGATTCCCTTTAGCAAAAGCATGGCAAAGTTCAAGTTTATGATTTTTTTTTATTGAATTTAGTTTTAAGATAACCAATAAAGTGCACAGAAAGAATATCCTTCTGATTCTGCCTCATACAACAATCCAAACATCATCAGTCAAAGGCTTAAAATCCCTGATACCCTGTAACTTTAAGCTTTAGTTCATTTATTTTCAGTAATCTCAACTTTTATAAAATCAATTGCTGTGTGATAATCATAATATATATATATATATATATATATATATATATATATATATATATATATATATATGCTTTCTGGACAAGTAAGTGATTATAATAAATCTGTGGATGTATGTTATGATATATCCACTACCTTCTTCATTTAAATTCATCATTACCTATATAAAACTTAAAGAACACTCTCACACACTCACAACAAAATCATCACAAGAAGCACATATACAATTTAAATAAACCTAATCAACAAAGTTTATACATACATAAAGTAGATTACCGAAATCACAACTTGAGGGTTAAATCAAGTGAGAGTTGATCCGACGACTGAGAAGCCACCATTTGTGAATCCAAATAAAAGCTTTCACTCCACATTAAACCCACTCCTTCTTCATCATTCGCCCATGTAGCTCCAGACACACTCATTGTCATTTTCCCTTCATTTGTGGTTGGTGTATTTGGAAGCGAGTGGGAATGCGCGCCAAGTGTTCGATGAATCGGGAACTTAGTCTCCATGTTAAGTGAGTGGTATCTTCTTGCTGCTTCTCTCTCCCTTTTGTGAGCATTTTGATGACCCCCAAGTGCTTGTGGGCTGTAGAACTTCCTCTTGCAGAAATGGCATATCCTCACTGAGATTGATTTTGATCTTGAACAAGAATCTTGAAGCTTTTGGCCCACGTTAAGATTCAGCCAATTCTTTTCTTCATCCATGGGATTCATCTTGGATAGGATATTCGAATTTAGGCTTCTTTTTTTGGAAGATAAGATGTGTGTGAAGTAGTAGGCCTTAGATTATGGGGTAAATAAAATACATGAGAAACAACCTATTTTAATAGGGGCAAGACCCCCCCCTCCCTCGTAGAAACACACACACACACACCAAGTATTATTATAACATTGTAACTTTGGGTTTGAGATGTGACATTTTCGTGTCATCATCCTATTAAGTTGCTTGCTACTGAATAACAGTTACACCATTATTGTAATTATGTCAACTTACCGATAGAAACACACTAATGTATTGGTAAAGTGGTTGAAAGGATAATGATATTTGTTTATATAAAGTGTTTTTTTTTATAGAACGAGTAAAAACCATTTGAATGAGATTTTTTACTCTGTGAGGACAAAATTGTTCTAGGTAATAGTTTTAGACATATTGTGCAGTCTTGTCATACAATGGCATGTCCTACTCCTACTTTACTTTATATGCTTATTTTTTTTGTGGGTTGCCAAAATTGTATATAGTTGATATTCCACACACAGATGTTTCCAGTTAAATTAATGCCAAATATAATGAAAATTATTTGGATTGTTGCCATTATTATTTTCTTAAGGATAATGACTTAAAAGGGTAATATATTTTTCGATTTGTAAATATTTGGTCACCGAGTTATTTTTTTCGTCCACATTTACCCTTCAACTTATTAAATTGTACATATTAAGTCATTATGACCGGGTATTCCAGGTTAACATAAACTTTAGTGAGTTTCCCCTCAATGTACCCCATATGATAAACATACAAGCATGCATAACAACCTACAACCTCTCGGTTGGAATGCCCAGGCCCAATCAGTCCTCAGACCGAAATGCCAACATGTAAAGGGTCCAATCAACCATCGGGCAGGAATACCCAGGGTTTGTTAGCCTACCACCTCATCCCAACCGCTCTTTCCAAGCCTCCGTGCCTTCATATGATTTCGGATTTTAACGATCTTTATATCAATGCATTTGTAGTTTAGTCTACTACAACTTTCGTTTAAATTACTCCCGTTAAAGTTAATATATTTTTACTTACGATCTATATATCTATACGTTTTTTTATGAACACATGTATGGATTTATATATATATATATATATATATATATATATATATATATATATATATATATATAAAATCTTAAGTAAAAATATATTACATTTTAACGGGAGTAATCTTAACGAAAGTTGGAGTAGACTCAAAAAACGAACACGTGGATATAAAGATTGATAAAATCTGATATCATATGAAGAAGTTACGACGTTCAGAACACAAGACGTACGCCAAACCACAAGACCTATGCAACCAAGTAGTCGAGATCGCGATTGACATAAGCATCAACAATCCCAAACACCTCATCAACGATTGTCTCACGTAAGATGTCGTGAGAAAAAACTAAAGAAATCATTCATAAGTACTGAATGAGTATAAAAATAAAAGAGTTATTTTGAAACCAAAAAATACTAATAGACTAAATGTATACAAAATGAGAAATATGTTACCATATTAATTTATTTTTCCCGGTTAATCTGGAGTAATTGGGTATAAGGACTGAATGTATATAGTTTAACAACTTGAAGGGTTAGATATATAAAAAAAAACTTAGTGACCAAATGTGTACAAATCGAAAAATATATCAACCTTTTAAGTCTTTATCCTTATTTTTTACTTGTACTATTATTGTCTTGTTACTCGAGCTCATTTATACCGATGGGATGGTCTTTTAAAATAATATTGATGATTCTAAAAATACATATATGGAACCCACCATGTCCATCTATTATTGGGATCTCTAGATCTTAGAGTATCATTTGATGGACCGGTGTGTGGTAATGATAAGTGTTTGTTATTATAAGGCATATTATATGGTTTGTCCACTATCATTTGTTTGCAATAATGTTAAGTGTATCCGGCCATAAATTGTTTTGAGATTGATATGTGGGGTTTATGAATAGATTTTTTTACAGTATTATACATAACAATTTGTTTAAAAGGTTATGACTAGATATAGTAAAATTCCATTATACTATATATATATATATATATATATATATATATATATATATATATATATATCAATGTCTTAAAGACAACTTATCTTGATGTACAACATATCAATGTTACAAGTCTTAATTAAGAGGTACAAATTATTGAACACTTGGTACTAGCCATCTATGCATGAGTTGGCGATGACTTTTGCTGAGGCGTTGAAAACAAATAGGAAGACAAAACTCTCACCCAATCACAACTCATCACACAGATCACAATCTAGTCTCTAATATCTTTCTCATCCAACGGAGAAGAACAAAACTCCAACAAACATAACATTAATCAATGGCTGCAAACCAATATAAGAAAAACAAATTCTTAATACTTAAAACATCACTCGGATCCTAATTTTGGGTGTTCCCTTTTGTCCCCATATTTATAAACTCTCTTTTTTAAGCATTCGTTTTATTCAAAATAAGAACCCACAGTCTTACAAATTGTTGTAAATTTTAAAGCTTGATTATTTGGTAGTCGCTGCTTTCTTGTATTTTCGAATTTCATATTTGCAGATCCAGAGTTGAACACCTATGCATTTTTTGCTTGATGTGCATTTGATTTCTATCTTTTTGGCTTTTGATTTTTCATGTTTTCCTTTTTTTTTTTTAGGCTAAAATTTGTAATCTAAAAAAGCTTCTTGAATCATGTAGAAGGCTAAATAGTAAGGAATATTACAAATACATGTAAAATCAGTGCATATAAATTGGTATTTATAAGTTGTTTTGATTAAAATCTAGGAAAAGAACACATGAATTCTAATCGTCATGTTTGTAGTATTTTTCTAGCCTTAATTTGCATTGATTTTATTTAATGTTCTTTATCATCTGAAAGTTTTCGAAAAGAGATCATGTTTTATCTTGACATCTTTTTATTTACACATTCTTATTTTTATATTGAGTTACAACAATTTATTAAATTATTCTATATTGAACAATCTTTTAAAATAAATATCTAAACCCACTTATTTCTTATTTCAAAACTCTTTTTTTTTTCATACATAATATCTTTTAGATATGAAAAACCAAAATGTTAAAATATGAAATAAATCTTCTTCTCTTCTACGTTTTGAAATTGATTTTAATGAAAAAGAGTAGATGCTTCGATCGGATAAGACAGGTCCTGAGATATAAGAAATTAATCAACAAAACAAAAAAATTTCAAAACTAAAATTAATCAACAAAACAAAAAAATTTCAAAACTAAACTAAACAAAAAAAGTAAGTAGAAAAAGTAATCTTCAAATGAAACTTGGATTTTCTCCAAATACAAAAACATGAGACCCTCAACTATATAAAAAAAACATAAGAAAACTTGCATAAGAATGCTTATTGCCTAAAGGTTCTTTACTAAATGTTGATTGATCTCCTAAGATAAATATATATAAAAAAAAGTACTTATGTTTACCGTTGGTTGTTTGCGCCTTGTTTTAGATCCGGTTGGTGAGAACCCGACTTCTTGATGTATGTCCGCTGCCCGATAAAGAGTAGTAGATAAAAATTATTATTTGTTGCCCGTTTAGAGACAGCTGATCGTCGAAAGGAACAAATTGCCAGAATGAAATAAATCGAAATGAAACAATTTGACGACTGCCGAAATGACACTAACTTTCGTTTGGAAACTAATCGCCGGAATGAAACAAATCTCCGTTGCCGTATCGTGCGGGTACGCTACTAGTATATATATATATATATATATATATATATATATATATATATATATATATATATATATATATATATATATATATATATAGCATTATCCACACGTTCGTACAATAATTGTACATCTATATTATAACCTAGCCCGGGCTAGTTTATAATGTAGATGGACAATTATTGTGCGGACGTGTGGATAATGCTATTTTATGGGAATTACTAAGAGAATATGTTGTTTAGTAATGTAAATACGTTCAATCTCACATAACTATTGTTATTCTAATGGATTCTTACTAATTGTAATTAATTTTTGTTCTTATGCATCGTTTTTCATTTATTTTCATTCTTATAGAATACGACTCAATAAACATCCTGATAACATTTTGACAGAATAAGAATAATTAAAAAAAATCTATAATAACCTTATAAACGATTTAATTAGTGAAAATATGTAATAATTACAATAATTATATAAGATTGAACATATTCATATTATCAAACAACATATTTTCTTTGTTATTCTCACAGAATAATATTGTCCATACGTCCGCACAATAGATGTCAATCAACATTTAAACCTATATATATATATATATATATATATATATATATATATATATATATATATATATATATATATATATATATATATAGGTTATTCTATTCAAAATAATTATTGTGTTATTGTATGCATAAATGTGGGCCAATCAATTTTACTTATTTTAAGAAAGTGATTAATATATATTATTGAATTAAATATAAATGAAAAATATCATCTAATATAATTACAAGGGTATTTTAGTCAATTAATATCTATTTAATAAATGAAAATTGCATATTTTAAGGGATCATAGATTCTATTAATTTTAAAAATTCGATTTTACGAATTATAATTCTTTTAATTCGGACATTCTGATAAAATGTGTTTATGAGTATATTCAAAAATAAAAATATTTTTGAACCATACATAATAAAAATATTCTTGAACGTATTTCTTGATTATGACTTTAAAAACTTCTTGTAGAATAATAAATTCTTGAACAATCAACTGAAGAATAAAAACAAAAAAATACATTATTTCTTATAAAATACGATAGATAACAATTGTTAAAGAATAAAACTAAAAAAACTTTCAAAACGGGAAAGAAAAAAAAAACTTCTTGTAGAATAACAAATTCTTGAACAATCAATTGAAAAATAAAAACAAAAAATACATTATTTCTTATAGAATACAACGGGTAACAATTGTTAGGAATTTCATTTATTATAAAAGAATAAAACTAAAAAAAACTTTCAAAACGGGAAAGAAAAACATCTAAATCTAACAACGACATCAATACATTCTAAAAGAATAATGTTGATTAGAACCACTTTCAATTTTGTGGTCCGTTTCTTCAAGCATCAACTTCTGTGAAAACAAAACTAGATTGTAGTTTAGATTCCAACAAAATTATAATTTATGATTCCAATCCAACAGAATTGGAATTCGTGATTCCATACAATTCGTGAACAAATGCTATTGATATTCTTCAATGGCCCGTAATCGATTGATTCAAACCATTCTTATGAGAATGCCATTTTGTGAGAATAATACCAGACGGAAATTACGTTCTACATGAATACCATTTTGTTATAACACATTTATTCTCCTTATCTAATATACGAAAACTTGCAGTCCCTGCTTTTGCTTATCTCCTTTACCCGTTCCAACCTCCGTATCCTTTTTTTATAATAAAAAAAGAAATATCAAACTAATAATCCAACTTAAAATTAAAGTTTAGTGAAAATTCCAAGTAGTCTTACTTGATACCAGTAAAAATAGATGACCTTAAAAAAGTAATTGGAAGAGATGCAAAATTTCACTATGGTTTTCAAGAAATTACCAATTGTAACTTAAGCCTACGAGGATTGAAAATGCTTTGTTTCTAGTATCACCACATTCATCTATGAAATTATCATCATTTAGCATTTTTGGGCCCTATTTGTCATCCTGCACCAGTCAAGCAAAGGCTATCAGAAAAATTACAGTGTCAAACACAACAAAGTTCCTCCCATTATTAGAGGCGGCAGGGCGGTTCATGGCACCCAAAAGCCATAGAAAAACAAATGTTTAAGTTGCACAATCAAGAGAGATTAATATTGGGATGAAACCAATGTTGTTAGATTAGTTAGAACAATGTACTTGACAGTGCTCGTAACAAATTATTCCCACGGAATCCGAAGACACACAAAACTCAACGAATTTTCAACTAAAATGTACCTCTGAATCGCTACCTCTGAATCGCCACCAATAATTGTATCCCACATCTCTTTAACTTCTGCATCATCCCCCCACCCTTACTATTTACCTTAAATTTCGACTCACCTTTCTCATTTGATCTCCCTCCTCTATCCGAGAACTTGGAAGCACTCAACTTCTTCTCCCTCTTCTTTCTACTACTCCTACCACCACTGAAAAACTTCTTCCTCTTCCTACTGCCACTATCTAGATCATCCCTGACAAAACTCGCCATTTCATCCTCCACGTCATCATCAAATCGCGAAATTCGGCAAGGTCTCCTCCGCCGTGCTCTTCTTGATTAACCTTTTACGCGACTTCGACTTCGAATCAGATTTGTTGTGAACCAGCGAGACCGTTCCTGCCTATGACTCTGCCAATCATTATCTTCCAATTCATCATCAAGATTGTGATCAAGGAGGTTTTGATGTTGATTGTTGTTATCATCACCGTGATCAGATTGAAATTCGTCGTCGTAATCCATCAACGGCTCGCCATCTTCATCGCGATAGCTGAAAATTTAAGAACAAAAAGAACACGATTAAGGTCGTATGCATAACCTAACCCTAGATTAGAGAGCACTAGAACTTACAGATCGTTCTCGTAACCCATTGTGCAGTGGCGAGGAGGACGATTAATTAGTTATGGAGACAAGTAGGAAGGCGACCTACGGCGCAGGGGGAAGGAGAAAGAACCAATTGTTAGTGTGAGGAAGAAAGAGGTGGATTTAGTTCGCCGGTGTGATCTGGAGGTGGATTTTAATAGGGTTAATAAGAAATGGATCCCCTAAAACAAAGGGACTATTTATAGAATTGATTTACCAAATTACTAAATTACCCTCATTGATTTATTTAATTATTTAATTATTTATTTAGTTTTGATTGGCCCACATTTATGCATACGATAACACAATAATTACTTTAAATACCTGAACCTAGCTCTTTCTCTCTTTCTCTCTCTCTCTCTCTCTCTCTATATATATATATATATATATATATATATATATATATATATATATATATATATATATATATATATATATATATATATATATAGGAGTAGGATCAAATGAGAACACCAAAAAGGTTGAGAACGCGAGAACAAAATATATTCATTTGCGATTCCATGTATTCATTTGTGGAGAAATGATAAATTTTTACGCATTTAATTTCAATTGAAGAGAAAAAGCATATTCATGTTGATTGTGCGTAAAAATTTATCATTTCTCCACAAATGAATACATGGAATCACAAACGAATATACTTGTTCTCGCGTTCTCAACCTTTTAGGTGTTCTCATTTGATCCATTCCCTATATATATATATATATATATATATATATATATATATATATATATATATATATATATATATATATATATTAGTCCGCTTGGAAAAAACATACTCAACTCATAGGCGATGTTTCTTTTATCAGTGGTGTATCTACTCTAATAAATGAAAATCTTTTTGACATGTCACATCTCATTGATTTTGTGATTATTTTCAATTAAATTTTTTCCACATGACATTTTGTGGGTTTTTTTTTTTTTTTTTTTTTTTTTTCAATTCCATATAATATTTAAATATACTAATTGTAATAAATATAATAATAAATGCATATCAATTTCAATAATTGACTTTCATACTAATTTCAACATTTTTAAATGAAAACTTTATTATTATTATTTTTTTTTCATTTTAATCAATTCCATATAATATTTAAATATACTAATTGTAATAAATATAATAATAAATGCATATCAATTTCAATAATTGATTTTCATACTAATTTCAACATTTTTAAATGAAAACTTTATTAGTTTCTTTTATTTATTTATCTAAATTATTTGTTTAAATTTCAAAGAGAAAAAAACATATTAATTTTAATAATTCAATATTTTTCCTATTTTTCTTATAAATTTAAACATTTTCAAATGTTTAGAGAATTTTCATATTTTAAAAAGAAAACTCATATAATACATGAATCTTATACCTAGTTCTGTATTAAACATTGTTCTCTCGTAAAAGACTAATAGTACCCGTATAAAAACAAAAGTCTTAACTTGTGTGAGGGATTATTTTTCTTGTTCTGAATATACCATTGTGCTTACAAAAACGTTTCTTTTAATAACTTTTTTGTAAGGTTGATGCTAGATGGATCCATCCAACACATACAAAGATAGATTTAGGGATGTGAAAAGCTTTCAATGGTTTAACTTGTTGATTAAATTATAGTTTATTTTTCAAAACCATTAAATTATATTTTTTATATAATTTTCTTGAAGTTTTTAGAATAGTTTCATGATGTTACCTATATTTTTAAATAAACTAAAGAGGTATAATGGTCATTTTAACATAAGGTCAAAATCCAAAATTCTCCAAAATTCTCCAAAAAAAAAAAAAAAACCTCATTTTAAACTTGTGGTGCAATTTTTTTTTAATAGAAAAACAGAAACTATAGGGACTAATTTTGCAGTTTTCTTTAATATAAGAGAGTCATATGAAAATTAGTTTGATCACTCGTACTCGTACATGACAATAACTAAAATAGTAAAATCGGAAGAAGGTATCGTTCAAACCTAGATGCTACAGTTGGCTCGTGGTTGTTGAGTCCAAATCTCAATTTTTCAGCAACACCACCACCTACGAGGCTACGACTCCGACTCGCATACAAAGATAGAGTGGGAAGCGGACGAGAACGACGTAAAAGCCGCCGGAGCAGAGCTTCTACCGGACGGACGTAGAGGATTCCGGGAGATCGGGTCTAGCTACCGTTCAATTCTCATCTCCTGAGATTTGACTCAGAAGAAATTGTAATCCCCAATACCATTCCCCTCTCCCCTCCTTCATTCCCCCCCAAAAAAAAATCGTAAAAGGAAGTAAATGAAAACCTAGATTGGCATCTACATATCTATTTAATTTTAATTAGGGCGACTAACAAGTTATAGATATTAAGTCGGCACATGAATTGTAATTCTGAATTGGTATATTTGCAATTAAATAATTTGTCTGTAGCCTCTTGCAACTTATGAAGAACACCATATTACGAAAGTATATCTTTATGAACTAGAAAATAGATCCTATTTTATTGTCCACAGCATGTTTTTTTTTTTATTATCTTTTTTGTTACAATTGTTTTCACAACTTACGTTTCTAAGAGTTACCATGGCACATTTTTCTTCCAAAAATCCATGATAAGTTATGGATACTGTTTTCCAAAATGTTTTGCAGGTGGGAAGAAAAGCTAGAGACAACCCACTTACCAGAGATGATGTTTGGGGACAGTTGTTTGGTTCTTAAGCACATAAGCAGTGGCACCAAAATCCACTTCAATGCTTTTGATGCTTTACTTGGCTGGAAGAAGGAATCCCTACCCCCTGTTGAAGTCCCTGCAGCTGCACACTGGAAATTCAGAAGGTTATCTTCTTCTTATCTTAATTTGTAGTTATTTAGTCACTAACATATTGGAATAATGCCATAATCACATAAAGCAATCGAAAACATGATGTACAAGAGAAGCAGGATGAAATATAAAATTTGAGGACCAGATAAAAAAAACTAGAACTCTAGTACCATGTGAGAGATAAATTCACATGGAAATGCATTGGAATTATAAGTTTGTGTTCATTTATAAATTATAACTTTTAACTACAATTATTGCTTGATTAGTTTTGTTATTGTTTTTGAAGAAAAACTAGACGTGCCAATGTACCCTATTGTCATTGCTAGCCTACCTGGCAATACTAGGTTCCCCTTTTCATTGATTTTTTATTTAACAATTGAGTATATATTCTTTTTAATGTCATGATTGATTGCATATTTTATGATCATGATTAATTGATTATTTAAGTTGCTATACACCCATCTAAGGGAGTAAAAGGAGTACTCTCTTTGATCCTTTTCTATTAGTTAGGCTATGTTTGGCACACCAAAACTAGTTTATAAGCTAACTTATTTAGGTTTTCATGTTTGACAAGCTTTAAAGTAATTTATAAGTCTTTTTAAAAAGCTACTTAGACTATCGTTTGAATGAGCTTATGGAGCTTTTTGTGAATTCTCCCAAATATACCCTTTATTAATTATGGAAAACCCATTCCCTACATTCATTTCCCAATTCCACCCTTCTCTCCTATCAACCCTACCTCTCATATTAATTTTGTAGAATTGATTTGTAATTAAATGAAATACGTATAAAAATTAATGTTTGAATTTTGTAAACATCAGGATTAGTTTTTTTAAAAGTATGCTAATTATGTTATATCATGTTATTGCTAATGTGTAACTCAGACATCCATTTGAACAAATATAAAAAATTATTATACATAAATCCTTGTTTGCATATAAATTCATCGCTAGAACTGACTTTCTTTGTGATTTTTCTGTCTAGGTAGTTTGGTTTAATTGATGTGTCGGTTAATTGTCTAATACAAATAATCAAGTTTTTTTTATTTTTTTATGATAATAATATTCATTTATGTGTATGTGTATCTGTTGTTGCAGCTTAGAATGGATGGTGCCCTGATGAGATCGAGGGATACTCGCGTCTTTTGCACTTTTAATCAGAATTCAAAGCCACTCATCATTCGAGATATTTGCTGGAGGGAAACTTCATTTAAGGCTCTTGCTTCTGTAAGCCTTCTTTCACTCTCTCAAACCTAATGCTCAATGTTTTTTTTTTTTTTTTTTTTTTTTTTTTTTTTTTTTTTTAAGAGAATCTTAATAATTTAAAATGCAAAGAAAGCATCACATATTTGCTGATTTCTAAATAAATGCAAAGTCAGCATTAAAAATTTATAATATATCACCTTGTAAATGTTTAAGTAAATTAAAAATTTTGGTCCCTGTCCTTGGATCGTCAAATTTAACAGCCTAGCTGTTAAAATTGTCAAATTGACTATTTTTCCCTTGTCTTTTTCATCTCCCCTCTGAAGAACCCTAAATCAAACAATTTCAACCAAAATCCCAAAATCAAATCTAAACTTGATACAAAATAAATTTTGATTCATAATCAAAACCCACTTTTATAAATCTTTATCTCTGGAATCAAACATTATAAACCCTTAGTAGATGCAATAATTCTCTTAAGCTGGAAGACAAAATTCATAAAACAGAGAGTCAGAGACTTAAATGAATAAACCTCCTTCACTCCCACTCCACTACCTCAAATAAGATTCCCTTTAGCAAAAGCATGGCAAAGTTTAAGTTTATGATTTTTTTTATTGAATTTCATTTTAAAATAATCAATAAACTGCACAGAAAGAATATCCTTCTGATTCTGCCTCATACAACGATCCAAATATCATCAGTCAAAGGCTTCCCATTGTCTTTCACACCACACAAAACCTCAAAATCCCTTCCTGATACCCTCTTAACTGTAAGCTTTACTTTATTTATTTTCAGTAATCTCAACTTTTATAAAATTAAATGCTATGTGATAATCATATGACTCTCTTATATTAAAGAAAACTGCAAAATTAGTCCCTATAGTTTCTGGTTTTCTAAAAAAATTGCACCACAAAGTTAAAATGAGATTTTTTTTTTTTTGGTGGTGGTGGTGGTGGTTGGGGGAAGAAAGGAGAATTTTGGATTTGTCCTTATGTTAAAATGACCATTATACCTCTTTAATTTATTTAAAAATATAGCTAACATACTGAAACTATTCTAAAAACTTCAAGAAATATATATATATATATTATAATATATATATATATATATATATATATATATATATATAATTTAGTGGTTTTGGAAAATCAACAAGTTAAACCATTGAGAGTTTTTCACACACCTAAATCTATCTTTGTATGTGCTGGATGGATCCACATCCAGCGTCAACCTTACAAAAAAGTTATTGAAAGAAACGCTTTTGTAAGAACAATGGTATATTCACAACAAGAAAACTAATCCCTCACACAAGTTAAGACTTTTACTTTTATATGGGTACTATTAGTCTTTTACAAGAGAACAAAAAGGTTAAAACGTTCCCATTTTTAATAAAGAACACACCACTAATAAAAGAAACATCCCCTTTGGGTTGAGATATGCTTTTTCCAAGTTGACTAATATATAGTATAATGGAATTTTACTATATCTAGTCATAACCTTTTAAACAAATTGTTATGTATAATACTGTAAAAAATCTATTCATAAACCCCACATATCAATCTCAAAACAATTTATGGCCGGATACACTTAACATTATTGCAAACAAATGATAGTGGACAAACTATATAATATGCCTTATAATAACAAACACTTATCATTACCACACACCGGTCCATCAAATGATACTCTAAGATCTAGAGATCCCAATAATAGATGGACATGGTGGGTTCCATATATGTATTTTTAGAATCATCAATATTATTTTAAAAGACCATCCCATCGGTATAAATGAGCTCGAGTAACAAGACAATAATAGTACAAGTAAAAAATAAGGATAAAGACTTAAAAGGTTGATATATTTTTCGATTTGTACACATTTGGTCACTGAGTTTTTTTTATATATCTAACCCTTCAAGTTGTTAAACTATATACATTCAGTCCTTATACCCAATTACTCCAGATTAACCGGGAAAAATAAATTAATATGGTAACATATTTCTTCATTTTGTATACATTTAGTCTATTAGTATTTTTTGGTTTCAAAATAACTCTTTTATTTATACTCATTCAGTACTTATGAATGATTTCTTTAGTTTTTTTTCACGACATCTTACGTGAGACAATCGTTGATGAGGTGTTTGGGATTGTTGATGCTTATGTCAATCGCGATCTCGACTACTTGGTTGCATAGGTCTTGTGGTTTGGCGTACGTCTTGTGTTCTGAACGTCGTAACTTCTTCATATGATATCAGATTTTATCAATCTTTATATCCACGTGTTCGTTTTTTGAGTCTACTCCAACTTTCGTTAAGATTACTCTCGTTAAAATGTAATATATTTTTACTTAAGATTTTATATATATATATATATATATATATATATATATATATATAAATCCATACATGTGTTCATAAAAAAACGTATAGATATATAGATCGTAAGTAAAATTATATTAACTTTAACGGGAGTAATTTAAACGAAAGTTGTAGTAGACTAAACTACAAATGCATTGATATAAAGATCGTTAAAATCCGAAATCATATGAAGGCACGGAGGCTTGGAAAGAGCGGTTGGGATGAGGTGGTAGGCTAACAAAAACCCTGGGTATTCCTGCCCGATGGTTGATTGGACCCTTTACATGTTGGCATTTCGGTCTGAGGACTGATTGGGCCTGGGCATTCCAACCGAGAGGTTGTAGGTTGTTATGCATGCTTGTATGTTATCATATGGGGTACATTGAGGGGGAAACTCACTAAAGTTTATGTTAACCTGGAATACCCGGTCATAATGACTTAATATGTACAATTTAATAAGTTGAAGGGTAAATGTGACGAAAAAAAATAACTCGGTGACCAAATATTTACAAATCGAAAAATATATTACCCTTTTAAGTCATTATCCTTAAGAAAATAATAATGGCAACAATCCAAATAATTTTCATTATATTTGGCATTAATTTAACTGGAAACATCTGTGTGTGGAATATCAACTATATACAATTTTGCAACCCACAAAAAAAATAAGCATATAAAGTAAAGTAGGAGTAGGACATGCCATTGTATGACAAGACTGCACAATATGTCTAAAACTATTACCTAGAACAATTTTGTCCGTCACAGAGTAAAAAATCTCATTCAAATGGTTTTTACTCGTTCTATAAAAAAAAACACTTTATATAAACAAATATCATTATCCTTTTCAACCACTTTACCAATACATTAGTGTGTTTCTATCGGTAAGTTGACATAATTACAATAATGGTGTAACTGTTATTCAGTAGCAAGCAACTTAATAGGATGATGACACGAAAATGTCACATCTCAAACCCAAAGTTACAATGTTATAATAATACTTGGTGTGTGTGTGTGTGTTTCTCCGAGGGAGGGGGGGTCTTGCCCCTATTAAAATAGGTTGTTTCTCATGTATTATTTACCCCATAATCTAAGGCCTACTACTTCACACACATCTTATCTTCCAAAAAAAGAAGCCTAAATTCGAATATCCTATCCAAGATGAATCCCATGGATGAAGAAAAGAATTGGCTGAATCTTAACGTGGGCCAAAGCTTCAAGATTCTTGTTCAAGATCAAAATTCAATCTCAGTGAGGATATGCCATTTCTGCAAGAGGAAGTTCTACAGCCCACAAGCACTTGGGGGTCATCAAAATGCTCACAAAAGGGAGAGAGAAGCAGCAAGAAGATACCACTCACTTAACATGGAGACTAAGTTCCCGATTCATCGAACACTTGGCGCGCATTCCACTCGCTTCCAAATACACCAACCACAAATGAGGGAAAATGACAATGAGTGTGTCTGGAGCTACATGGGCGAATGATGAAGAAGGAGTGGGTTTAATGTGGAGTGAAAGCTTTTATTTGGATTCACAAATGGTGGCTTCTCAGTCGTCGGATCAACTCTCACTTGATTTAACCCTCAAGTTGTGATTTCGGTAATCTACTTTATGTATGTATAAACTTTGTTGATTAGGTTTATTTAAATTGTATATGTGCTTCTTGTGATGATTTTGTTGTGAGTGTGTGAGAGTGTTCTTTAAGTTTGTATATAGGTAATGATGAATTTAAATGAAGAAGGTAGTGGATATATCATAACATACATCCACAGATTTATTATAATCACTTACTTGTCCAGAAAGCATATATATATATATATATATATATATATATATATATATTATATTATCACACAGCAATTGATTTTATAAAAGTTGAGATTACTGAAAATAAATGAACTAAAGCTTAAAGTTACAGGGTATCAGGGATTTTAAGCCTTTGACTGATGATGTTTGGATTGTTGTATGAGGCAGAATCAGAAGGATATTCTTTCTGTGCACTTTATTGGTTATCTTAAAACTAAATTCAATAAAAAAAAATCATAAACTTGAACTTTGCCATGCTTTTGCTAAAGGGAATCTTATTGAGGTAGTGGAGTGGGAGTGAAGGAGGTTTATCATTTAAGTCTCTGACTCTCTGTTTTATGAATTTTGTCTTCCAGCTTAAGAGAGTTATTGCATCTACTAAGGGTTTATAATGTTTGATTCCAGAGATAAAGATTTATAAAAGTGGGTTTTGATTATGAATCAAAATTTATTTTGTATTAAGTTTAGATTTGATTTTGGGATTTTGGTTGAAATTGTTTGATTTAGGGTTCTTTAGAAGGGAAATGAAAAAGACAAGGGAAAAAATAGTCAATTTGACAATTTTAACAGCTAGGCTGTTAAATTGACGATCCAAGGACAGGGACCAAAATTTTTAATTTACTTAAACATTTACAAGGTGATATATTATAAATTTTTAATCCTGACTTTGCATTTATTTAGAAATCAGCAAATATGTGATGCTTTCTTTGCATTTTAAATTATTATGATACAGATTCAAAATGGTTGGGCCTTGATATAAATAAACTAGGAATATTACATGGGAATTCTAGAAGGGCAGAAGGAAGGGAGGGAGAGAGAGAGAGAGAGAGAGAGAGAGAGAGAGAGAGAGAGAGAGAGAGAGTAATTTCATTTTGGGGATGTCGATGAGTATTGCTCAATTTTCTTGGCTCTTAGCATTTAGCTAGTGAGAGAGGGAGATTCCCTGGGATTGTTTGAGGTTCTTGCTTCATTCAATATAGTTTGTAATTCATTTCATTAGATTTAATGATATCATCTTCTACTTCTCTGATTCTTCCTGTTTCTCTTTAGTTTCATTATCTATTGATTTCTATTTCTCATCATATTAAGATTCTCTTAAAAAGAAAACATTGAGCATTAAGTTTGAGAGAGTGAAAGAAAATGTGCAAAAGGTTTTCTAGTTCAATTCTCACCTCCTGAGATTTGAGCCCCCTCTCCCCTCCATCCTCCCCCCAAAAAAAACTCGTAAAAGGAAATAAATGAAAACCTAGATTTGCGTCTACATATCTTTCTAATTTTAAGTAGGGTGACTAACACGTTATAGATATTAAGTTGACACATGAATTGTAATTTTGAATTGGTATATTTGCAATAAAATAATTTGTCTGTAACCTCTTGCAAGTTATGAAGAACACTGTATTATGAAAATATATCTTTAAGAACTAGAAAATAGATCCTAATTTATCCTTCACATCATGTTT